TCTTTCCCCAGGCTCTTCTAGTAGACTGGCCTCAATAATCCTTTATCATGAAGAGAGAGCCTAGTCACATTTGGAAGACATTGTTCCAGCCAGAGGACCTGACCCTGACACAGGAGGTAGTGCAGGGGAGGTGCCTTAAAATGTCTCACCAGCTGCTCTTCAGTCCTTTTTGCTTCATGAAATCTCTGATTCTGAGCTTCAATGAAACACTTCTGACAGTAGCCTTCAAACATGGTGCTTCCGAGGGTGCCACATTCCCTCCCCAGGCACGGGATGTTATTCTGGAACCTCGAGGCTGTGGGACTGGCTTTCCCTGAGGCAGTGACAAAATCTACAACAGAGTTGAAACTGATCAGAACCACATATGGTCACCATGCAAATACAGACACTGGCAGAAGAGCAATCAATGGGCTTCAAATCTCGAGTAGGCCGGCCTTAAATATATGCATGAGATCGGACTTGTATACATTCAACCACTACCTCCCACCTCGCCAAAAAGGTAATACTATAATATCATTGAGACATCTCTGCTTTACAAATCCTACTCTGAACATGGAGCACTGATCAAGCGCAGTCACAGAACAAGGTGAATGCTTAACTGCCCATCCTTCCTTTCAGTTAGATTCCCAAAGTTGCAAATGGTTTTCTTTTTTTTATGTCAGTAGAGACTTTCCTCTGTCTGGCTACTGCTTTCCAGATTTTGAGATTTCTCTTATACCACAGTTTCAAAACAAATCTAGTCTAGTTCAAACTTTTAACTTACAAATGCCACACACCAAATGGTCTTATGAAAATGAATTTCATGAACTCTATCATTTGGCGTTTGAAGCACCGTCTGTAAGAGCTGATGTAACCACGCGGTGCCCTTTGCCTCCACGTGCAGCTGGTAGAGCCACCATGACTGTCCTCCTGTGCACACCAATAGAAAAGCACAGTGGGTTGACCGTTCTACCCCACTGCCAAGAAGGGCTCCAGTTCCTAAAGTTTAGAAACTGAATCCCTCTGGAAAATAGTTACTACCTTGAAAAATCAGTAACTTCACTCACGTTTGTTTTCTCTGTACTCAATGAAACACAGCGTGCAAAAGCCCTTGTTTTCTGGAGTTCCAAAATACATGCAGCCAGCTTTCCTACACTTGCTTGTCCCAGTCTTGTCCCCTGGAGTCCGTGCAGACTGAGAAAGGCAGCCAGAGGAGGCGTCATTTCCAGCTCTGTGGCAAGAATGTGGGGAGATGCTCTGGACGAGCTGTGAGGGGTCGGACTTGGAGCGCTGATGGCAGGAGGGGGTGCCAGCCCCTAAGCTGGGGGAGGGCTCTGTCGTAGTCCTTTTGAAGCAAGTACTGCAGATCCCATTAAACGTCCTGGTGACGTCCTGAAGGCAGGCTCTGCACTTGCCGGGATCTAAGTGCCTCGTGTTGTCTGCGGTGGGGCTGGCATTGAGTTGCCGGGCATTGTGGCAGCGCTCACAAAATCCATTGTGCTGCACGTTCAGTGTGAAGGGGCAGCCGGGGCTCCTGCACTTCATAGCAGTGGTCTCACTGAACAGGAAAAGGCTGGGTGCTGTTGGAGGGGCTGAACGAGGCCCCCCAGCTGGTTCCTCAGGGCTCCAGGCCAAGGGCTCACAAGCCTCTCCCCGAGAAGCCCCGAGGGCCAAACCCGGGCCTTCAGGGCCTGGCTTAGAGTTCAGCTTTGAGAGTTTGTTTTGATTCTTTTGCCGCCTCTCTGAGCACTCGTGGCATAAAGGCTGGGTGTTCACGGACATGAAGAAAGGACAATTGGGCGTTTCACATTTTACATCCATGAGGGAAAGCTGGGGCATAGAAGGTTCTGACGGGTTCTGGGTGTGCAACTCTCTTCTGCCCTGCTCGGTGTTTTCCTGCCATTTCTTGTACTCGTGCTGAACAAGTTCAAAGTAGTCATCTACCAGATTGATTTCTTTTGGTAAATTGGCTTCATCCAACCTAAAGACCAAAAGGAAAACTGTGAGGCTACGTATAATCACACACGATTTCACCTCTTAGTTTGAAGCATAAACTTTTAGAATGTGGATTATGGCAATAACTTTGTAACTATTCACTGAAATTTACTATGATAAAGAGCTTGCGCTTCTAGTACAACATGGTCTAATATGTTGCCCAACATGTTTTATAGTCGAATGTGATGTAAGTTAGTCTTTTAAGATGATTTGGGGTGTGTGTGTGTGTGTGTGTGTGTGTGTGTGTGTGTGTGTCTGTGTGATTTTTTTGCTATTAGGGCATGTGCGCTGGCCAGAGAGCCATACACGTAGAAAGCAAGACATCACTTCCCAGAGGGGATGGCCATGCCACAATCCCTTCTCCTCTTTTCTCCCCTTGGAATTTTGGGCATGCACACACAAGCGCCCAGTGTGAGTTTTAAGCCGCCAGATCTGGGACTCAAACCGCAGTCTACTACATGGGAGTCCAGCAATGTAACCATTATGTCATCTGCTGGTCCCAATTTTGGTATTTTTAAAATCAGTTCATTTTGGGAACAGCAGGTGGCGTGGTGGTAGAGGAGCTGGACTCCCACATGGCTGACTGCAGTTTGAGTCCTGAATCTGGCGGCTTGCTTTCTCACTTCTCTACTCTCTCTCTGGTCAAATTAAAAAATAAATAAATAAATAAATAAATAAATAAATAAAATAATTAAAAATAATCAGTCTCATTTAATTAGTTAAATGAATCATTTAATTGGTCTACTCCAAATTATAGACAGTGCCAAAGAAATGGTTACTCTTGCCCCCGCCCCCTTTTCCTTTTCTTTTATTTTTGGAGAGGTTTTTGCTATAGGTTGCGTGCACTCGCCAGAAAGACAGACACACAGAGACAGAAAGCGAGAACTCACCCCCCAGGGGGGTTGGTCACACCACAATCCCTTCTCCTTCATTCTACTTTTGGGATCTTGGGCACGCACACACAGGCTCCCAGCGTGAGTTTAAGCCGCCGGGTCCGGGACTCGAACTGCGGTCGATTACATGGGAATCCAGCGACATAGCCATTACGCTAACTGCTGGTCCCATCTCTTGCCCCCTTTAACATACCAGTTTTACTTTCGAGTTGCTCAAGAGATCAATTTCCAGCAAAACATTACTCAGACTATTCATTTAGGACTAGTCTATTTTATAGCACAAAGTATACTGGAACTTTGTGTTTGCTGTTTTGCTGTAATTAATTTTAAACCTATGTCTAGCCTAGAGTGAGGAGAGAGGAGGCAGTCCCACTCAAAAAGCATAATTAACTTCAACTCTGCAATTTGCTGATCTCTACTTTGAGAAATTGATTCTCCTATGACCTATCTCTTGTGCATCTCAAGTCCTTAGAAACAGGTATACCCTGAACATAAAGCCAGTGTTTAAGGACTGGACATCTATGCAGTATGTTCTCTGGGGCTCTCCTCCCATTTCCTGGTGACAAAATCACGGGCTGTCACATACATACCTTCTACAGCCCAGTCTTTGTATAATGTGTCTGTTGTTACCCTGAAGCCAAGAGAAAAAGGCTTTTTTTTTTTTGAGTTTTCGCTTCCTACACTTTTTAAATATAATGGGTTCTTCAGAAAGTTCATGGAAAATGTGTATTAAAAAAAGCTATGGATAAATTTCAAAAGTGTTTGCACCAAAATAAACTCATTTTAATTGCATTTTCTCCTGAGGTTTTTGAAGAAGTACCCTTGTATATACTAGAGCAGTTAAAAAAAATTACTTGAGGTAAACACACTTGGAAAATAATCCTGACTCTCAGCACCCAGATATTTAGACAAAACAGTACATATCATTTCCTTTTGGAACCAACGTTAAGTGTTGCCTTAAGTGATCTCTAATTTATGACCAAGACTGAATTTGTTTCACAGTAGAGGAACCTAGCTGCAAATCACTTTACTGCTGTGTTTTGGGGTGGCAACAACTTCAGTGCCTGAGCAAACACAGATCTGGCTGGCAAAGAAGAGAGCTAAAACTAAGCTGCTTACTTTGCAGCATTGATCAGATGCGTCGTGCCATGGTCCCAGCCTTGGACTGGGATTTCTATCACCATTAAATATTCTTTTAGAAGCTTTTCTTTCATCTCATTTTCAGGATCTGTCAAAAAGTGAATTTTCAAGTCTTCAAATCTTCCTCGATCTCTGTTAACAAGTGGGACAGCTCGGATTTCTGAGGGGAAAAAAGTAACACATAAGTAAAATGTTATTCTACTAAATGAAGTTATGTGTAAGTCAATATATGATTAAATTTTGAAAATAGAGCAAGGAGATAAAATGAAGAATAAGAAAGTATTGTCTAGCCACCGTAAAATTCTAATAGGAAAAAAAAAAACTAAACTCTAAACTCTAATATAATACTGCTCCTAGGAAGCTCAGAGAATAGTTACTAGCTTGGAGACAAGAGAGTTTATTGGTTAAATGTCCATGATTCAGAATCAGATTGGCCTGAGTTTAAATCCTGACTTTGTCACTTTTGAGCTGTGTAACCTTAGGCTGGTTATTAACCTCTCTGAGCTTCGACAGCCTCAACTATAAAATAAAGCTAAAAATACTACTTCACAGGGATGCTATGAGGATGAACTGAAGTAAAATAATGTACCCAAAACACTTAACACATTGCCTACTCTATTCTAAACTACTACAATAGTAACTACTTTTCAGACATTTACCTGGTCTGTCCCAGACACTGTATTAAGGGCTCTGTATGGCTTAATTTATCATGCATTAATAACAACAGGAGTAGTAATATGTGTACATATATCTCCTCCTCGCAATTAACATGCTGAAAGTACTCCCCAAGTAGTATATCAAAAAATATGGGGGGAATTATAATTACTGCTACTGCACTCCTGTTACTAACCAAACAAATGAAAGAATAATATATTCAAGTAAAAGTAAAATTTTAAAATAAGCTATTTCAGTAAGGAGCAAAGAAGCAAACTCTACATTCCAGTATCTAACAGAAGTGATGAATATTAATTAATGCTCAGTTGTCTCACCAGGCCCACTGTCCTTCAGGGTCACCAGGGGGACAAAGTGTTGGCTGTCATAGCCGAGGACGATGGGGTATCTGTAGCACTCCTGGGCAGGCCAATGGAGAGGCAAGTAAATTCCGCCCACTTTCAACGGCGCAAAATTTGAACCTGATTCCAAACTTCTCAGCATTTTGTCTGTTTAAGGAAAGAGAAAGGCAAATAAGTGATTTTAATCAATTTTCATTTACCCACTATCACCTGTGACTTTGGTAGTGTGGGTTTTTCTAAAGAACCGAAGCATAGAAGCTGAAAAGCACCAGAATATGAAAAGTGGTGTGCAGGCAGGCATCTCACCTGAAATGACGATGATTGGCCTGCGGAGGATGTTGCAAAGGACAAATATGTGGATTTCTTCTAGTGAATTATACTGAAGAGCACCTCGGGCTGCTGGTGTGTCTATGGATGCCATTTTGACCAGGTTGTCCCATTCATCACTCCAGTTCTAAGGGAACAGGGGTAAAAGGAAAACAATAGGTTGAAGGTACTCTGCCTTAAAAAGTCATTCTGACATCAGTCTATAACTATTCATTTCTATAACTAAGCTCATTTCTCCCCTTTCTTGAAATCTTCATACAAAGGATTGCCCTTTTCCCATGTTTCGGTTTTCTTCCTTTACTTTCCTCGACTACAAGGGAGCAAACTCAGAAATGGGGGAGGACAGACACAGCACCTGCTTTCAAAAAAATCCCTGATGAGGCTTAACCCAGAAGTCCCTCATCCAAATGCACCCAAAAATTCCAAACTTGTGACTGAGACTGGTAAAGTACATGTCTTGGTGTGGTTGGCTGATTCAACAAAACAAGCTGATGGCAAGCAAAGTGAAAACAACAAAAACGCCAAAGGAAAGGCCATGATCAGACGACCTTCTGTCAAATGAAAAGATCCACAGCTGGGAATTGGCTACTCAGAAGCCTTCCAGCAGAGGTAATAGTTGCATGTTAGTCTCACAGAAAGTTTCTGGTGTTTTCCATTGAACACACTTTGCTCAGCCAAGTTCATGTGACCCAATACATTATATGCTCCTGGAGGGCAGAGACTGGCCCAGGGTACCCTTTAGCCACCATGGATCTGTCATTAGATGCCCAGTATGGAAACAAAACATACCCGAGTGTCGTAGCAAAGCCCCGTTTCCACAAATTCCTGAGACTTAAGAGACTCCAGTTGCCAGCGGAATTTAAAGTTACGTGTGTCTGTCTCCTTGAGAGTGCTGAAGAGTGCCTTCCTCAGGACCAAGTCCGTATCCTGAACACCCCACATGTACTGAGAAGTAGCATGCATGAGACAATTCCCGTCACCTGAGGACAGAGGGAAGAGAAGAGAAATACAGTCAGGTCATCCACATTCAAGGACCAGCGAAGGTGTTCAGAATAGATGAGTCCTCCTACTATTATAGGGGACTGAATGGTTTAATTTTCAGTCAAGGGCAAACTGATACAATTCACGAGATGATGACAACTTTAGGCAAAAGAAAATAATTATTTTCAATCTTCTCTTTCATGATACCAACAGGGCCAAGGGGTCAGAGGACCTTGGTTCTGCCTTGGCTCTGCTCTTAACTAGTTTAGGTGACCATGGAGAAAATTCCTTATGCTCATAAAATAAGGCATCATCCCTTTCTCACAGTCCTTGATTTGCCGACTAAGGCCCTGGGCTTGACTGCTTTCTGACTCTAAGGAAGAACGCACAGGGCAACGTGCACAGACCAGGAAGCAGGCATGGCTCGGCTTACTAGACAGGGACGGTCTGGCTATGACTCAGTGGTAAATGACTTGACCATTCCACTTTAGCCTTGGAGACTTGGGAGTTTCCTCTCTTGGTCGGTAGAGTGGGGTTACCAACACGAGTTACCTACAATCTACCAGCCTAGGCCCCAGGAATGTCTTCTGAGGAGCTGCTTATTAGTAACTGCAAAGTGCTTTTTAAACATTGAAACACTAGATGTCTAAATTTGAAAATAATTCAATGATTAAGGCTGGTATTTTAAGGAAAAGATATTTGATTAATTTGTGACTTTTCTAGGTTAAAATTCTTAATTCGACAGACTGCATTTTTTTAGCCTGTAAATAATAAAGATTTTAGGAGAATGTTTAATACCAAAAAATGTTAACTTCTTAATCTCCTTTGGCAAGTGCAAAATAGTTTTATAAAGAAAAGTTAACTATTTTTCTGATAGTAAAGGCAGTAAAACTATTGCCATTTAATCAAATATTTAGAGTCATACTGTTAAAAAAAAAAAAAGGCAAATAGATATCCAACAGCTGGTATTCCTTCAACGCACACATAGAAAACTAGCTAAGTATTCCAACAAATGAACAAAAAGATCACTCGAGCCTTGTGTCTTGGCAGAAGTGTGGCAACAATTGCATTCTGTTGAAATTTCCCCTTTGCAAAATCTAGAGCAAAGATAAGACTTTTTTTCTTCTTCTTGTGCTTACTTTCAGTTCTTTATTGAGATGCACCAGTATGAAATTCCCTAAGTAACAACTGGAATTCCCCAGTGCTAAGTTATTTGACTAGCAATTGAGCAACAGCTATTGTACTTTTTGTTCTGGTGTGTAGACATTTAAACTGCGATGTGCACCCTGGACTTTCCAAGTGGGTGTGGTTAGGGTGAGCTGGAATAGGGCTACTCATTATACAAGTGAAATCGCTGCAGCCAATAGACGCTGGAATTTTTCACATGAAGTTTCAATTTTATGCCACCTACTCCCTTCCTCATTCACTGCAGTCTCATATCCTCAAATGCAACCTTGTGTATCCCCCCTCCCCGAACAGACCATTGACTTTAAGGGCCCTTTCACAGGGAGAAAGATTAAAAAAAAAAAAAAAAGTGCTAATAAAATCAAAGATGAAAAGTCATTGGTTTATTCCCTTCCCCTAAAAATATTTTCTTCCCTTTTCAGAATTTTAAGGAATTTTCTTGGAAGGGGGGAGGACATAAAAGGATTCTGAGCCTAAAAATTCTTATTTCGCAAAATATGTTTTCAAAATGCATTTTTTTTCATTTTGTTTGTAGCAAGAATCCTTGCTGAGTTAAATGACATAAGTTTGCAAAAAGTGTTTGCATTACATTCTTTATTTCCTTAAGGGAACAGAGTATTCATTTTCTTAAGGAATTAGAGCAAAATGTCAGCTAATTCTGTTAGGGATAATAAGGTTTTTTCCATCATATTTCTGGCAGAATCTCTTACTTCTAACTCTCCCAAAGTTCACCCCATCTCTCTCTCTTTTTTGGTAACAAAATAGGAGAAAGTTAATCACGAACTATCAGGTATATAAACCCCCTTTAATGATAACATAATTACCTACTTCTATGCATGTCTTGATTTAATGCCAAGAACAATGCACACTTTCCATCTGCGTTTTCTAAGTGTATGCTTCATATATATAAATAAGATGTTGCATTAATATTTAAGTTCCCAGAATCAAAACCAATAAACAAAAATGTATGCCCATTGATCACTGCTACCCAAGTCAAAAATGGTCAAAGTTAATGTACTAGTTAATTAAGTTAATGTTCTCACTGTAATCATTTTCAACAAGAATTTTCTGCTCCTGAAAGTATTATTTTGATCAGGGTGGTTTAGGACTGTCATTGAGCTAAGGACTTGAGATTCCTGCTCTTACCTAGACAGTATGCATTTAACTGATCTCGTATAGTTGAGCTGGTTATTTTAACTGTCTACATCCAGAAAGTAGAATTTTCTACCTGCATGGGACAGTATGTTGAATATTTCTATTAATGTACATACGCTTAAGAGTATGTACAAGACAGCGAGACCTGGCATAGGAAATAAGTAGTAAAGGGCCATCAGGCAGAAAAACAGAGACAGGAAGACACTTAGTGACTAGGATCCCTAAAAATAATGAAGTAGATGCCTAAAACCTGTGCTAAAAATCTCGAATACCTTTCTATTTATATTACAGGGCCAGAGGCAAAAGAATCTTGGTAAAGTAGGAGGAGACAAAAGAAGCCTTTTATGTCTTCAACAGCCATTCACTGGTTAACCCATAACTGCCACCAATCTAAGAACTGCAAGGACATCGTAAGCATGCTCTAATGACAGTGAGAAACAACAATAATACAGTTTTCACACCAGCTTTCCTTTTGAACTTAAAGCCTTCCAATATTTCCATCCTTGGTTAAACAAAGGTATTTTACAAATAATTAAGCAGTCCCAGGAGCTAGAAACACAAATCATGCAACTAGGGCATGTGTTTAAAAATGCATTTCTTAAAGTCTCAATGCACTCTACACTGCAATATATACAATTAGAAAATAAAATATCCTTTAACAAAGGTTTCCATAAAAACAAGCTTCCTCTTATCACTTGCCCCTTATAGAGTATCTACAGCAAAGTGTCTATGGCCTCAAGAGATCCCAGTTTGGGCTAGAGCTATAAAAACTTCACAAATGGGGACCCAGCACTGTGGAGACCTCCCCAGACAAAAGGAGCGGGACAGAGCAAGTCTTACCATTCGTCTTCAGTGCCACAAGCTTCCTGACTTCTCGACACCAGTTGAGCTTCTTCTGGCTTTCCAGGGAAGCCTGGATGTTTCTGTCAATGAGAGCTTTGTGGATGATTTCCCGAAACTGGGGACAAAACTGGCAAGTTCTGAACATTTCTAGTGTGTATCGGTGCATGGTTTTAAAATGATGAATGATCCCATTGGTAGGTTTAAAAATATCTTCTGGAGTCCTCTCTCTAATCTTCACAGCTTTCCGCATATTGCTCAAATACAAAGCCTGAGGAAGGAGTTGTTCAGCCATGGTGCTCTGCAACACCTGAAGAGGAAGGGAAAATAACCCATTCCGTTAGCCCAGCTTTGATACTCCTCCTATATACCTGCTTGCAGGAAACCCCAGTGTCTGAGCTTGTCATTACCCTAATCTGTAGGCAAAGATCTTAGTCACCTCTACTCCCAGGATACTAGCTGGCCCCAAAGATTAACTCACACTGGACTGTTTTAAGTTACATCACTTTTAAAGATTAGTCTAAACAAGAGAAGGAAGGCGGAGAGTGGGTACTGAGGAGGAGGGGAATAACCCTTGTTTTTAGTAACGTTTGCCAGGGAGCCAAGCCTGTCTGTCAGCAACAGGTACTGCTCCTCAAAACCCACTTAAGCTCCCATTTCATTCTGATGCCACTCTAACAGCCGCTGGATTTCAGAAGTTCCGAATGCCAATTAAGACCACAGAGTAGCCCAGACATGTCTGTAGCTCCTCCTCTGAGACCACCAAGCCATCTTTGCTTTCCCTTTTATCTCTTTCAAGTATTCCCCATTTATTGAAAAATATTTATTTATTGAAAAAATCCTCTAATTCAATGCTGTCATCTAGGCTGCTGGTGGTATTTGTTCTCTAGTTCCAAAGAGAAATATTTATTAAGAGTTTATGAAGTTTATTATAGTATTTATAAGGAGTTAAAACCAAATGTTTTATAATCAGTAATAAAACCTAGTTCCAGCAAGATGCTTGACAAATTTTTTTAAAAACGTGTTTCACTGTGTTGCGATCCTCCTGCTTCAGCCTCCTCAGTAGCTGGGACTACAGGTACAGACCACGAAGTTCTCTTTTTTAGACAGGGTCTTGCTATATTGTCCAGGCTACCTCTAAACTTGCAATCCTCTGCCTCAGCCCCTTCCTGCCTGCCTCTCCCCTCCTCCCCCCAAGTCTCTGGGATGTACACCACTGTGCCGGGCATTTAGACCGACTGGGTATCTGGTGTGGGCCTCTCACATGGTCTCAGTCTGCATAACGCAGTATCTTAGCAGTGTACCACTGCAGCTGGACAATGCTTTGGAATTTTCAGAGCAAACATCAGCAGTCTTTGGGAACCGTGTTACTAAACTTTAGTAACATCTTCATCACAATAAAATAGAATGAACAATCAATTCTATACTTCCAAGAATAGACACTAGAACTCAATTATTTCAACTCAACTGCCAATGAATTTTATCATCATCCTCTAGGTACCAACACTCAGATGCATTTTCACCCCACCATTCACCCTGAAATCTTCAAGTGTAATCTACTGGTGAAGTAAATGAAAGTCTGGAAGCAGTGAAGAAAAGTTTCAGCCAGCATGCCACTCAAAACAAATGAAAGAGGAGTGGGGACAAAGACCTACATGCACCTGCAAAGCACCAACGACCACCTAACATGAGTGTTAACTATGACAACAGTGCAGCATGATGTAAATTAACCAAACGCGATTTCCCAGGGAAGAACGGCATGGAGCACCTGCTCCCGTTCACTATTCCTGGGTAGGGTGCCTCCCTATACATCTTTTTTTTTTTCTTAGCGATTTTTGCTATATGGCATGTGTGCTCACCAGAGTGACAGAGAAAGAGAGAAATCACCCCCTGGGGGGATGGCCATACTACAATCCCTTCCCCTCCATTCTCCTCTTGGGATTTTGGGTACACATGCACACACACCTGGTATGAGGTTTTAAGCCACTAGGTCCAAGACTCAGACTGCAGTCAACTACATGGGAGTCCAGCAACGTAACCATTACACCATCTGCTGGTCCCCTCCCCATACATCCTAATTTTCAAGAAGACAGAGATGATATCAGAACACAAAGATGTTCTCTAGGAAGCTTCATAGCAATAGCTAACCCCACTCCTACATCATACTACTTGCCAGGGCAACCCTCCAGTTGACAGAGATGTTAAATCGATAAGAAAGAGAAAAAATCGGGAATTTTAGGGAAGCTACTCCTGGTTGGGTCTAGGTTCTCTTTAATCTGTTGGTAAAGCGGTCTAACTCCTTCGAGCCCACTCTAAAAAGAGAGGCTAGACCAGACTACTCTGAGGTTGTTTTTGAGGAGTTTGCTGGTGGTAGTTTGGGAATGGGATTCTTAATTTGACTGCTGGGTAAAGTCTGGGAGAAGTCATTCTCTTGGTCAGATGGCAATACCTCTGTGGACGGCAGACAGTCCCTGCAGGTGGAATTGGGTAAAATCAGCAGGTCACAGGTGTAATAAAGGAACAAAATACCAAGCACATTTCCTTTAGGAAGAGCAAGAGTTTCTCTCACAATGTCATCCATGTATTCATCCATCTATCCATTCATCCATCCATTCATAAATCCAAAAGCACTGCTAGGCCCATGCCTGATGCTAGGACTAAAAGTTAAAGATACCCTTTTATCCCTCTTTGAAGTCATAAAACCACCTGAGTCTGGCTAAGGCAAGGAGAGGATAGGGTCCTATTTGGGTTCCATAGCTCTTCAGGGACAGAGCTTTGCTTAGAAGCTAGGCTTTCCAAGACCTGCCCCTTGCTGTTTCCACAACACCATACCTGTTACAAGTGCCTGGTGCTCTCAGAAGAAAAAAGACAGGTAGTAGGGAGCCTTTTAAAAAACTAAGTGTTGCTTCTTTTTGCTTTTCTGCCTCTTCTGTTTTTCTTTTCTGGATCTAAAGATCTTTCCGTTAAGATCTAAAATAGTGCCTAAATATGCAAGAAATGCAAATGTCAATATTCGAGAGCACAATGTGATCCTGTTCATAGATTCAGCCTTGCAGAGCTTGCAAAACTACCTCCTTAAAAACATTAAATGAAATTTGATCAAAGAAATCACTACCCAAGTTTCCAAGTCTTGGATTTCTCCACATTTAAAATTTAACTTTCTTGACATATGACTATAATGTTATGAGTCAAAAACAAACAAACAAAAAAAACCACCAAAAAACACACTATTGCCCTGAACTGTTTATTTTTTACATTTGATATTTAAAGATAATTTCCCAAGCTTTGTCATTGGGATCAATGAGATTCTACAGAATTTATTCATCCCTCAAAGTCCGCCTCTCCCCCTTGTTCTAGTTTCCCACTCTGGGCAGATATTTTTGTCTGCAACGTAGAAATTGATGCATTATATGTTAACTTTCTAATCCAATGCTTGGGAAGCATCCATCCAAAATAAAAAAAAAACACAAAATCGTATAAAGAATTTTTTTAAAAAATCAGTTATCTTAAACCACGACTACGGAGCACTAAACCGGCTGCTCAATAATCTGGGACACAGAGGTTGCACTCCAGTCTAATTCAGTGGTTCTCCCAAAATGCTTGACCAGACTAGCTTTCCAAGGAAAGATCAGAGGCAGGGAGAACTGAAAACAAAGCAGGCTCAAAATGAGCTGAACGCCTTCCTTACTTAATACCACTGCTTTCCTGAGAGGCCAGGTGGCAGGATGTGGGACGACCCGGGCTGACAAAGACAGTCTGACTGTGGGGTGGGGGCCGGGGCAGGGGCCTGCAGTTCGCTCCTCCTGAGGCAGCCAACAACCGGCTTCTACATGCACACTTCTCTTACACTGTTGCAACTGAAAAATATGAGCACTGTGCCCCGACACCACGTCCCTGCACAGACCACCAAGGTTCTGGAAGCTGTTCCTGGGAAGGTGAGCGGACTGAAGCCCCCATCCTCTGCTGGATAGCTGCCCCCGTGACACCCCAACCCCAATGGGCTGGTTCTGCACAGCCTGGCAAGAAGCCACAGCGCTTCTGCAAAGTCTACGTGGCCACGAGCATGCAGCGCTTGACTGCAAAAAAGACACGAAAAGAAGCAAAGCACCAACGACCACCCGACCAAAGGCGCCCATTCTTCAGTCAGCGGCAGCTTAAGTGCAAACATAATGCAGACAGTATCAGAAACGGAGGGCTGGAGGGAGGAATCCAGAGCTGTCATTCGACATCTGGAGCGGCTATACAACTCCCAGCACTTCCAAACCTAGAACAGGCACAATGGCCAACAAATTCCCCTCCTGGATCGCTGGAAAGCTGATGCCAGGTAGACCCGACCACCCCAACAGCAGCTGCTCCATACGCGTCCGCAGCCCTCGCCCGCGGTGAGCAGTAGCAGACAGCATGAGGAAGCGCAGCGATTACCTCTGCCGGTCGCGCGATCCTCCCAAAGTCCCAAGTCCCGGTCAGAGCAGGCGCGCGCTGCAGACTCGCTTCGGGACCAGGGCCAGGCTGAAGTTGCACTCCATAGACGTCCGGGCTCAAGCTCGCTCGCAGGCAGGGGGGTGTGATCTCTCCTGGCGGCCGCTCTCGCGCTCCGCCCCCGCGGGCTCCAAGCTCGCTGCGCTCGGGCCGCCGCAGAGGCTGCAGACTGCGCAGTTTCCTTTTTTCCCTTTCAGTTGTACCGCCCGCACCGGGGATTTCCACGCAGGGACTTTCCAGTCACGTGACGCCCGGCTGGCGCCTGGAGCCCGCGTCCCGCCGCGCGACAGCCAGCCGCCAGGGGGCGCAGGGGATCAGGAAGACCCCTGCCTCTCCGCCCCGCCCCGCCGGCTGCCCAGAGAAACTCCTGCGCCACGCCCCGGGGTGTCCCCGCGTGAGTCACCTGGGCATTTCGGAAGCTGGGCCCAACGTCACATCCATGTGGAAATCGCGGTGATGGGAACTGGAAATGAAATCGGTTCTTTTTCGCAGCCGTTTTTCTGCAGAAAATCATCAAGTGTGGAGAGGAAGAAGGGAAATAAGAAGAAAGAAAACCCTAAAAACCACCCGGCGTCTGGGACCCCGGTCTAGCGCGCCCTTTGAAAGCTTGGGCGGTGCACGTGCTGACCTCGTAAAAGGGAACTCGAGACAGGGTCCTGGCAGAGATTTCGAGAAAAAGAAGCAGTGACAGCCCCTGGTCCCCAGTTCCATTGTACCTGCCAGCCCTGGACCCTTGGCTGGGTGAGATGTTTGTCTGAGTGACACCAGACCCCGTGATTCCGCGGCCTTGGGCTTTCCAGGAGCAGGACCAGCCTTAGTTAAAATTAGGAATCAGAACCACCTACCGTGCTTGCTCCATTTCCCCTTTATGTATACTAGGCGTCCAGGTGGCTTCATGTTCGAATAGCATTTCAGTTTAGAAGTCACTCCTAGGCCATTACTGTCCTGGTCCTGTCTCCCAAAGGCAAGGCGTGCGTGGGGGCCTGCTTGTGTTTAGATGTCTTGATGATTAGTTCACCCCACCGGTCTTTATGGCTGACAATACATGTTAATCTCTGCTGCAGGCTATTTGCATTGTGCCATTTTCACGGGGAGAGGTGACCCAGCTCAAAATAGGAGTCACCTCCTAGGCAGTGGAGGTGTGTGAGCCGTAGAGGGAGGGACCTTAGGGGCTTTTACTGCCTTGCTACCCTCTGAGCTGGCCCATTTCCAAATGGCTAAACTAGAACCAGATTGAAGTATCCTGTCCCATTGTCTTAAAAAAACTTAGGGAAGCTTGTTAGGCTGGGATTGCAACGTTTGAATTTAAAAAGTGTACTCTTCCGGCTGGGTAGAGTGGTGGTTAAGGTGGCTGGATCCCATGTGGCTGACTGTACTGTTGAAGTCCCAGACCTGGCAGCTTGAAAAACACTCTGAGGGGGTTGTGTTTGTGTATTCTCAAGCACACGTGCGCACGCTTGTGATTGCCCAAAATCCCTAGAGGAGAAGGGATTGCAGTGTGGTCATCCACACTGGGGGATCCTTCTCACTTTCCCTCTCTCTTTTTCTATAGTAAGCACATATGCCCTATTGCAGATAAAATAATAATAAATAAAAATTTATAAAGTATACTCTTTTCCCTGGTGAGAACCTACAGAGACTGGGGTGGGGCCTGGGTGGACGGTGGGACTTTTCTTGGCAAAGGGAGACTTGGAGCTGAGAGACAGTAGTGGCCACCGTCCCAAGGCTGGTCCTGGCATCTTTAAACCAACAGCTGGAATTTTTTCTATCTCTAAATTTATTTGTCCTCTTCTTCACTTGTTTTCAGCTGTCAACACTCAAACATCAGATAGTCAAATAAGTTATATAAAATGACATTTGTTGAGTACTTACTGTATGCTCATATGAGTATACGCTTTTATAAGAAGCTTAAGAAACATAAGCTGGTTGCACAGCGTCTACGCAACCAAAAAGTGGTAGAGCTGCCATGGAAACTGGGCCTGTCTGACTCTAAAACCCACTCTGGCAAATCTTACCTATTAGACTATTGCTCTGTAAACATCCTGTGAGGTGTAAGGTCTCGGGGGCCCTGTTGGTACCCTGACCTCCAGTCTTCCAAACACATTATAGTCCCTTAGCAGAATGCGGGCTTGAGTTCCACCCTGAGGAAACCTCCTGGGCTCCTTAAGGTGAGGGAAGATAATGCATGTAAAAGAACACACTGGGGACCAGTAGTTGGTGCAGTGGCTATGTCACTGGACTCCCATGTAGCCAACCACGGTTTGAGTCCTGGACCCAGTGGCTTAAACTCACTCTGGGTGCATGTGTGTGCGTGCCCAGAATCCCGAGAGGACAATGGAGGAGAAGGGATTGTGGCGTGGCCATCTCCCTGGTGGGGGAGGGGGCAATTTCTTGCCTTCTGTCTATTTCTCTCTGTCTTTCTGGTGAGCGCACGCGCCCTATAGTAACCCCTCCCCCCAAAAAACAAAAACAAACAAACAAACAAACAAAAAAGAACACACTGCATACAACGTTAATCCTCAGAGCACTACCCCCGGTGTCCCTATGTAAACAGAATTTGCCTTCTTTCTCTCATCTGAATCTGGTTCCAAATTCTCAACTGGTTCTGAGGCTTCCTCCATCCCCTTTCTGGCTCATGGTCTTGCCTTCGGGTTTGATGCAGTTCCACATTTAACCTGCCTCTTCCAACTACCCTGATGTAGCTGTTTGGACATCTTTTCTGCCACGATTTGTAACAAGATAGGATCCTTCAATTTTGTTTTATCTTCATTTTCCATAACTGTACTACTGAGCTTGTGAATGCCCCACCCTGAACTCCCAAGTTGGAGTGATGGTCTCCGGGACGAGGCATGCTCTATCCTGCCCTTCCCTCACCTTGACTGCCTTTTCCACCTTCTAAATCAGGCCTCTGTCTACACTTAACTTTTCCCTTCTAAATACTTCTAAGTACTTCTAGTACTTAACACATAGGCAAGACCAGTAGGAATGTTAGTGGTGATTCAGAAGAGAAGGATAGAACAGGGGAAAAATGCAAGATGAGTGACTCCTTATGAGAAGCAGAGATAGGGTATCTGTGGAAGCGTGTTGAAAAAAGTCAAACCAGAGATTCAGTGTGCCCAGAAATCTCAAAAGGGCCTTTAATTTAAGGGACTTTAATTTCAGCTACAGATTTTGTCAAAATGGACAGAACTCTGTGAAAAGGAAGGGATACTTATTAACAATTGGAGTTCAAAATGATATTTTGAAGACTGGGACTCTGATATGCTGAGTGACCTTAAAAGCTCCCTCAGAACCAACTCCTTTAACCCTGTCTTGTCCACTTTTACCTCCCACCCCCAAAGTGCAAGGAAAGACTCTTGCTGAAATTTACTTAATCTGATGAAGGAAATTTCTTTCCAATAGAAATATGGTAGTCTTAAACACCCTCCCTAGGAATCTCATCAAGCAACAAGAGACAGAAAAGGCTTAAGAACTCTGCACCCAGGACACCTATTTTTCTGAAGGCAGCTATGAGAGATTACCTTTTAAAAAAATCATAAAGGGACCAGCAGTTAGCGTAATAGCTATGTTGCTGAACTCCCATGTAGCTGACTGCGGTTCGAGTCCCGGACCCAGTGGCTTAAACTTATGCTGGGCACATGTGCGTGTGTGCCCAAGATCCCAAGAGAAGAATGGAAGAGAAGGGATTGCGGCATGGTCATCCCCCCTGGGGGGTGATTTTTCACTGTCTGTCTCTCTGTTACTGTCTTTCTGGCGAGCACACGCGTCCTATAGCAAAAAAAAAAAAAAAAAAAAAAAAAACAACCAAACAAACAAACAAACAAAAAAACCTCTCAAAAAATCTGCATAAAGACAACCTTTGTTTTTGTGCACTTTTGCTCCTTGCCCCTCACTTTTCAGTTACGTATTGGTCTCATCCAGCTCCCAAAGAGAATCTTTTCTTAACAGTAACCTGAGCATTGGCCTCATTCATGTTCCCATTTTCCTTTGTCCTGTGAGGAAGGGTATATGAACCCAACCATCTGGCTCTTCTTCGAGTTTATATTTTGTGTGACTCCATGTACATATGTATACATAAATAGAATTGGTATACTTTTTCTCCTATTAGTCTGCCCACTGTCATTGAGTTTCAGGGAACTTTCAAGGGGGAAGAGAAATTCTTTCACCCCTACATTAACATCTAGTGGGCAGAGGGGAGAAAATGTGTCTCCTTATTAGGGGAAGAGGTATTTCTTCTTATCTGGAGTGTTTGAAGAATCCGAGTTATGTGCCTTTTCACTGTAGTGCCAGTGTTCACGCATCATGAACTGCGTACAGTGAGCACGTGTGAATTAAGTATTAGGTTGTCAGAAAAGTCATGGCATATTTTTCTATCTTTTCTATGTAAAAATACATTATGACTTTCCTGACAACCCAATAGTGTCTTTGGGACTGTGCCTGTAGCCTGTGTGTTTATACCTCATGATGAAAAAGATGCGTATCCAAGACCCAAGAGAGAGAGGATCAGAGAATCTGATTAAAGATAGAATAGGTCCAGTTTCAGTGGCACATGCTAAGACACTGTATTTCCCCAGCTGGGACCACATGGGAGACCTGGGCTTGAGTTCCAGTTCAACATAAAGATGGGACATGGAGGTATATGCACCTATGGTCCTAGCTACTTGGGAGGTTAAAGGAAGATTGTGACATAGCAAGACTCTGTCTTAGGAAAAGGAAAAAAAAAAAAAAAGGAGAGGTAGAGGTAGATGTGACAAGTGGGAAGGGGTCAGCGCTCAGCTCGAATGCAATTTATGAGCCTTTCCTAATTAAGAGTCAGAGACAGTGTCTTTCTGAGTGTACAGAATTCTAGGTATGGCAGCCACTAGTCAAACTTAAAGGGGACCTTCTGTGTTCATTGTACAATTGTTCCCCTCCCCTTTCCCCGCTTTGTGCTCAGTTGAAGAGGCAGATCCATATTAAACATATTTTGAAACAGCCTTATGTAAGCATGACAGTTTAATTATTACAGGGTAGCTTTGAACCCTGCTTCAAATTTTAATAACCCTTGACTGAGCTTTGAGATTACTAAGGATCACTGTTTGCATTCTTAATGCCACTGCAAGGGCTACTTCTGAGAATACAATAGAAGCTCTTTGTGGACTGTAACTACAGTAAAC